AAAATTCATCTGAATAAGATCAGTAAGACCTATGACTCCATCGAAAAAGTCATGAAAGTCGAAGAGAATAAAATCTATGTTATTTTTAATGCCAAAATCTAAAAGAATAGGTACTGTAGCTTGATATTTAGTTAGTTTACTACCTATGGCAGTTTTAATTATGTTAGATCTTTGATAGATAAAGTTTGGAAAATATTGTTCTATTATTGAAGGTTTAATAATTGATTTAATGCTGCCTGTATCGATTAGTAATTTTAAAGAAGGGTTTATTGTTTCAATATATGGTAAAGAATTATTAGTAGCTACATTATTGATTTCGATCAAGTCAATTGATCGTCGAGGCTGGTGGCTCGAAAATTTTCATCCTGTTCGATATTTTTATTATTCATTGATTCTCGATAATATTGATAATAAATTAAATTATCGCGTGTATAATTTTGAGTACTTTCGTCGTAATATACATTACTATGGTAGTTATCGTATGACGTTTCCTGTTCACATTCATTGGAGTATAATTCTTGGTAGTTAGAATTGGGATTCCTGTAAAAGAGTTGTCCGTTAGAGATATTCTGTGAGAAAGTTTTTCTACTATTCATACTAGGAATACGCGACGTCGTCGACATCGGCTCGGGTTTCGGTAGTTGACTCGGTGGTATAGGTCGTGGTTTAAATACATCCTGTGGCGGTCCAAATACTTCGCGATTTGTAGGAAATCGTCTAGGTGGTACATTTTGTGTTTGAATATTTATCGGTTGTGATGACCACTCGAATTTTGATTGTAAGGGTTGTTGATTACCAAAATTGTTATTATGATTATTATTTTAAGGGTTACGAGTAGCAAAATTACTGGGTGGCTTAAAATTATTGAAATTATTTGAATGGTTAAAATGGTTATTTCTGGAATTAAATTGATTTTGTTGATTATTATTAAAATAATTAGGTGGATTATTAAAATTTGGCTTTTGTGATTTATAAAAATCACTATTACATTTTCCATATAACCTTTCAAAATTTTCAAATTCGATCACATAGGCCATCGCATCTTCTAAACTTGTTGGTTTTTTTATATGTATATTATTCTTTAAAGTACCACTACAGCCTGCGATAAACGTATTTAAAGCAGTTTTGTCGAGATAAGAAAAGGCAAAGTTTTTCTTGGCGTGACAAAGTGGTATCGTTACTGAAACGTTGTACCACATTACTTCGTAAAATTTGTAATCTGTTGCCAAAAGCTATTATATTTTCGTGCTTATCAGGGTGAGTTCGAGTTAACTCTTGTATTAAACAGTCCAGATCTCTTCGATCTGAGAATGATTGAATCAAAGCGGTCTTAAGACTATTCCAATCGGTTAATTCGGCTCGATTACCGACCATAATCTCTGCCTTGTCAATCAATTTTTCTTGAATTGATTCAAGAATATGTTGATTAAGTTCGGCATCATTTAAATTTTTGTAACTATTAAAAATACTTTCACATCTATTGATAAATTTATTGAGAGTATTACTGTCTCCATCGTACGGTTTAATATTATCCATTTTGGATTTAAAAAATTCCCAGTTAAGCTTTGATTCAGTCATTTTTTTAGATGGTATAGAAGAAGAAGCGATTTTGTTTGATTGTTGTAGAGAAAATGATAAACTATCTAATTTTCCTATAATTTCCTCTAATTCGGTCATGTATTTTTAAATAAACTTAATTTTAAAACTAAAGATAAAGTAATTATTTATGTATTGATTATAAAAAATTTATTATATTGAATAATAATATATTTTTTAAAATCGATAAATTATTTTTTCCAATTATATTGATTTTTGATTTATTTTTTAAATCGATAAATGATTTCTTAATTGATTTAATTTTTTTTTCGTTTTTCTTAAAACTACTGCTCCCAATAGCTGCGAAATTGTGTGAAAACTATCCCTACCGAAAAACCTTAACCAGAGGGTTCGGAGAGGCAAAAAGGAAAAGGCACTTACAGTTTTGATGCTGTGGTGTTTTCTTCTCCTTTCTCGATCCTTTTGCGACTCGTTGTGGGTGCTGCACTTTGCTGCCGTCGAGGTTCTTCTTCGATACGCGCTTAGGGGTTGAAACCACGAAACGACACAACTGACCCGAAAAGATGCTCGAAAAACACAGAAATGCCGTCGCACGTATCCTACCGACTGCGCCAATTATGTTGTTCGACGGAAGGAAAGTCTTTTTAAAAAACAATTATTTATTTAAAAGTATACAGCGTGAATGTTGTACGTACGAAATCAGACAAAAGAATGAATTAATAATGAACATTAACTTAAAAGGAAAACTTATCAATAAAAGCATGATCAGCAGGTCTCATGGGAAGATCTTCTGTGCGGTTGCAGGTGTGGCGGAAATGGCCACATGTAACTCCCAGTACAGTACGTCTGTCCGTTCTGTAGCTACGGGGTATCCGTGAGAGGGGAAACGATATTCTCTCGATTTTTTCGTAAAAAAAATAGACGACGCGTCCCATCAATAAAAATTCGACAAATTTGCAAGTAGCCAATAAAGTGAGTGGGCGGAGCGATTTGCGGTGACCTACTCGTCAAGTCGACGTACAAAATATAATTGCTATTTATTTAAATGTTTTTTGTCTGCATTCCTTTCATAGACACAGATCCAGCAGACGTACTTTATTATGGTATTCTGGTACTATTCTCGATTTTTTGAATAAAATAATCTTTTTTATCTTAGATTATTATTTTATTAGAATGGTCATAATCAAGGGGGCTAGTGATACCGTGTTAGAAAAAGAAAGTAATTAAGGGCATATTTTTTGTATTTATTATAACTTTGCTAATAACTTTGGTTTGAAAAAAGATATCAATATGCGGTTTTCGCTGACTTTTTAAGCTTTTATTACCCTTTGGTATCAGCTAAAATTTAAAAAAAACGCGTAATGTTTGTTAAATTGTAAGACAGCGCCCCCTAGCGTCTACGTTCAAAAGCTTATTTTTATTGTTTATGTGGTATTATATAGGGTAAGAAACGATCTTTTAAACGAGCTCTCACTTGTTGGATTCCGATTATCCAGTCCGGAGTTATTAACATTTAAATAAAAAGAGATCTAACCTTCCCCCACCACTTTATTTTAGAAGATAGGGGAAAATGGTTCTAACAAAAAAGATCCTAAATTTATTGAAGATTATGAAGCTATTATTTATAGTACATCGTATCTAGGCAAAATCTCTTAAAAATACCATTTTGTTATTTTCCATAACAGTTACGCCCTCTAGCGACGATTGTTAGATCTATAAAGCTATCTCTCTAGCTATAAACTTGAAAATAATTTCCAGCAATTTTTCATAGTCTCTTTAGTTATAAATATTTTTTTCCACAAGCCCTACGACTAATACTTTCCGAGATACAGCCGAGAGCTATTCTTAGTGGGACACCCTGTACTAATGCGTTTGTTTTGCAGCACTTTTTATACAACAAATATCTTTTTCAAGAAATAATTATGTAGCTAATTGAGATTATATAAAAAATATTTAATAATATTAAAAAAGTCTAATGAGACGGACAAAATCAAACATCAGGGGATAAAGTTAATAATTCCAATTCTTTATTTTCAGAGCAAATAAAAGATATAGTGAAACTTCAACTAAAGTAGCTTAGATAGAAATGATGCAGGTGCAAGGAGTTAATAAGAATTTCAAATTGAGATAGTTCAACAAGTTCATATAAATTCGAGATTTAACTTCGAGATAGTTTTGATTCAATTAAAGTCAACTTAGCGAACTATAAGAACAGCGAGAAATAATATGTAAAATAGTAAGATTTTCGTATATTTCTAATCTGATATGGGAACATAGGAACTTATACACATAATACGGTAAATTAAAAAAAATCACTTGGAGATACTGCAACTAATTTTATGTTTCAGATTATATAAAGTTAAATTTTTCTTTCTTCTTAAGTTTAATCTTCATATACAAGGTGGCGCCTCTCATACGCCGCGCCGCGGAGTCTCCAAAGAGAATGACAGTTTGTATTGTCATGAAATTATGTGAGCATGTGTAAGTGAATTCAGAGCACTTTTTAAAAATATAGAGAGTTCTACAGGGTGTCCCCAAAAAAGTTACATATCAAAGTTGTATTTTTTGTAATGGAATAGCCTATATATTAATTAATTTTCGGATTCTGGGAGAAAAATAACGGTGGGTTTTATAAGAGAAGTATATGACTAAAAGGTAAGGTTTTTGACATATTTAACATTTTCTAGAAATAAAGAACAATTTTTAAATTGCAATAAAATCTACCTAAATTGGAATTTACCCGGTATATCCTAATATTTAAATCAAATTAAAACTTGATCCAAAATGTTATACAGTGAGACAAAATTAATATTGAACATTGCTCACCTTTAAAAGCATGTTACTCTCCAAACCAAACATAACACCCAGTATATTATTCCGACATTCAATGGAGAATTTATGTCTCTTCAAAATACTATTAAGGTTAATGTAGTAGTTTAGGCTTTCGCGGCCATCGTTTGAAGAATTTTGGTTTTTCGGGTTATTAGGCCGTCGTCGGTTAGAATTGCTTCCTAACGTTTCGCTAGCACGAGTGGCTAGCATCTTCAGAGGTGTGTTTGCTCCGATTGCTCACACTAGACTGATGCCTCCGCGTCGGCGTAGCGCGTATTTATGCGTCGGTGGAGGGGGCGTGGCTTGTTCGGGTGGTAGTTCTTCCGGAACTGGTCTACTTCTCTGTGCTGCTACTTTGGTCCTAGATATAGCTGGATGCCAAATTCTGTTAAGGTAGAAAGTTTCTTCCTTCCTGTTGAAATTATTTGGATGTTTGTGAATTTTGACTCTAGCGCTTTTTCTTCAAATCTCTCCATAAAGAAATTAGCAATTATTGGGCTGATTGAGCTACCCATTGCGACACCTTCTGTTTGTTCGTAGTAATTGCCGTTCCATAAGAAATAGCTACCAGTCAGACACACTCGGAAGAGCTCCGCGATGTCAGGTGGGAATTATTCCTTGATTAGATCCATTGACTCGCCTAGGGGTACTCTCGTGAATAGAGATACCACATCGAAGCTTACCATGATGTCAGATGGTTCCAGTTTTATATCTTTTAGCTTTTGGACGAAATGCGTTGAGTCCTTCACATAAGAGTTTGTGTTGCCGACTTTCGGTTGTAGGATCGTAGTCAAGTATTTAGCTAAGTTGTAAGTAGGCGATCCTGGAGCACTCACTATCGGTCTAAGTGGGACACTAGCTTTATGAATTTTTGGTAGTCCATAAAGGCGTGGTGGTTGAGCTTCCGAGTTAATTAATTTTGATTTCAGATGTTCCGGGAGTGAGGAGGCCTTGATGAGTCTGTTGGTGTTTCTGACAATTAAGGCAGTAGGATCCTTCTTCAGTAACTTATAAGTCTGGGGCTCCAGTAGATCCTCGATTTTGGACCTATAATCCTCAGACTTCATTACTACCGTAGCATTCCCCTTGTCTGCCGGTAAGACCAGAATGTCCTTGTCAGCATTCAGCGATTTTAGAGCCTGATGTTCTTCCCTAGACAGATTACTTTTTGGAGCCTTAGCAGTTCTCAATATGTTGACCGTTTCAAATCGGATTTCGTCTGCGATACTGTTAGGAAGGTTACGTATGGCAGCTTCTGTTCCGGCAATAATGTCTTCCACTGGAACCACTTTCGGTGTTATGGCAAAGTTTCCTCCCTTCGCTAATAATGTTACTTCTGATGTCGTAAGGGTCTTATCTGTGAGATTCACCACGGTTCGAGCAGGTTCAAGAGATATCCTATATTCCGGCTTGGTTTTTGGTTGCAGTTTTTCATATTTGATCTTCTGGCGAGCTGATGTTCTTTCCAATTCATTTTGCATATTTTGGTATGTTATTCCGTCAATCTTGTCCCAGTCTACAGGTTGCATGTTGGCGGTAAGGATATAAAATAGGTCGATCAATTCCCTGTCTACCTTTGCTAAGTCTCGTCTAGATGTATGAATCCTCTCACGAAGAAAATTTTTCTCCATCCTGGTGTAAAGGCGATTTGCCTGAGTAGATGAGAATACCCTCTTCATTTTGAGAAATCCTGGTATTACGTTTTGGTCTCGGCAGCGGCACAGAAAAGCAAGCGATGATAGCAAGTGAGCTTTTCGCTTCCGTGTCTTGTCCAGGCGTTGGTACAATCTGAATAGCTCCTCCCCGTAGAGCCGTTTAATGTAGTAGTTTAGGCTTTCGCGGCCATCGTTTGAAGAATTTTGGTTTTTCGGGTTATTAGGCCGTCGTCGGTTAGAATTGCTTCCTAACGTTTCGCTAGCACGAGTGGCTAGCATCAGAGAGTTTCTCTTGTGTTCCGTAAGTCTCGTTCCTACTGAGCGTTTGGTAGTTCCAATATATACGCTACCGCAGGAACAAGGTATACGGTAGATCCCTGCAGAGGATAATGGTTCTCTTTTGTCTTTTGCTGGTCTTAAACAGTCCCTTATTTTTCGGGTAGGTTTGTATATGGTTTTGATGTTATGCTTCTTGAGAACTTTACCAATCCTATCGGTGACCTGGGAAACATATGGAAGGAAGGCCTTATTAATGATGTTTTCCTGTTCATTGGCGTCAGGTCTCCTCTGCCTAGGTGCCAGCGCCGCCTTTATTTCTCTGTCATTATAGCCATTGGCAAGAAAGGCTTTATTTAAATGACTTAGTTCCTCTTGGATGTGTTCATTAGCACAGATACGTCTTGCCCTATTTGCTAATGTTCCGATAATCCCCTGTTTTTGGCTTGGATGGTGATTTGATAGTTTGTGTAAGTACCGGTCGGAGCCTTAGCAGTTCTCAATATGTTGACCGTTTATGTGAAGGACTCAACGCATTTCGTCCAAAAGCTAAAAGATATAAAACTGGAACCATCTGACATCATGGTAAGCTTCGATGTGGTATCTCTATTCACGAGAGTACCCCTAGGCGAGTCAATGGATCTAATCAAGGAATCATTCCCACCTGACATCGCGGAGCTCTTCCGAGTGTGTCTGACTGGTATCTATTCCTTATGGAACGGCAATTATTACGAACAAACAGAAGGTGTCGCAATGGGCAGCCCAATCAGCCCAATAATTGCTAATTTCTTTATGGAGAGATTTGAAGAAAAAGCGCTAGAGTCAGCCGTTCTGAAGCCCGCTGTATGGTTTCGTTATGTGGACGATACATTTGTTGTTTAGAAACATGGACGTGACAGCCTAGATGACTTCCTTCATCACCTTAATTCGCAGAGCCCGAGCATAAAATTTACCATGGAAACCGAAGTAAACAACCAACCGGCCTTCCTCGATGTGCTTGTCAAAAGAAATGGCGACCATTTGGATCACACGGTGTATCAAAAACCCACTCATACAGACCGGTACTTGCACAAACTGTCAAATCACCATCCAAGCCAAAAATAGGGGATTAACGGAACATTAGCAAATAGGGCAAGACGCATTTGTGCTAAGGAACACATCCAAGAGGAACTAAGCCATTTAAATAAAGCCTTTCTTGCCAATGGCTATAATGACAGAGAAAAAAAGGCGGCGCTGGCACCTAGGCAGAGGAGACCTGACGCCAATGAACAGGGAAAACATCATTAATAAGGCCTTCCTTCCATATGTTTCCCAGGTCACCGATAGGATTGGTAAAGTTCTCAAGAAGCATAACATCAAAACCATATACAAACCTACCCGAAAAATAAGGGACTGTTTAAGACCAGCAAAAGACAAAAGAGAACCATTATCCTCTGCAGGGATCTACCGTATACCTTGTTCCTGCGGTAGCGTATATATTGGAACTACCAAACGCTCAGTAGGAACGAGACTTACGGAACACAAGAGAAACTGCAGATTAGGGCAAACAGAGAAGTCAGCCGTAGCAGAACATGCTCTAAGAGATGGTGATCACAAAATCCAATTCGAAGACACCCAAGTCATTGCCACAACATCTGGATATCATCCTCGTCTGGTCAGGGAAGCTGTTGAAATTCACAAACATCCAAATAATTTCAACAGGAAGGAAGAAACTTTCTACCTTAACAGAATTTGGCATCCAGCTATATCTAGGACCAAAGTAGCAGCACAGAGAAGTAGACCAGTTCCGGAAGAACTACCACCCGAACAAGCCACGCCCCCTCCACCGACGCATAAATACGCGCTACGCCGACGCGGAGGCATCAGTCTAGTGTGAGCAATCGGAGCAAACACACCTCTGAAGATGCTAGCCACTCGTGCTAGCGAAACGTTAGGAAGCAATTCTAACCGACGACGGCCTAATAACCCGAAAAACCAAAATTCTTCACTATTAAGGTTGCCTACCCCTCAAACAAAGATTTTCCGAGATATTTTCATTTACGTGATTTGATCTGAGTAGATCTTTATTATTTGATAAAATCTAGGTAGCTGTGATATGTCTGACGTTACTTCAACATAGCTGTCTAATTAGTCCAACTTTAACAACTAGTTATCATTTTGTGTCAGTTAAAACACAAAAAAAATTCTCAGAAATTTGCCGAAAATGCAAACTTATCCTACATCAGAGGGAATTGATATGATTTTATTAGTTCGTGACCGTTGAGTACTTTACTCTACAATCTTTAATTTTTGTTAAATTAACAAAAGGTATATCACACAGCCACCCTAGATTTTTTCAAATAATAAAGATCTATTGACGCAAAATCATAAAAATTAATATATCAAGGAAAATTTTTGTCTGAGGGGTGGGCAACCTTAATAATATTTTGAAGAAATATAAATTCCCCATTGAATACCGGAAAAATATACTGAGTGTTCCATTTAAAATAAAGGAGTAACTTGCTTATAAAAGTGACTAATATTCCATATTAATTTTGAGTCACCCTGTATAACTTTTCGGGTCAAATTTCAATTTGCTTTAACATACAATTTGCTTTGTGGTTACTGTAATTAAATATCAGGCAAATAACAAAAAAAGTCAAATAAAATTTAGGTAGCTATTATCAAAATTTAAAATTTACTCTTCATTTTCACAAAATGTGAAATATGTCAAAATCCTTAGATTTTAGGTATATGCTTCTTTAATAAAACTCAACTTTATTTTTTCCCTAGAATCCGAAAATCAATTAATATATAGGGCGTTCCATTAGAAAAAATACAACTTTGATTGTATATATAAAATACAACTTTGATATATATATATATATATATATATATATATATATATATATATATATATATATATATATATATATATATATATATATATATATATATATATATATATATATTTTTTTTTTTAATTTCCAATCTCAAGATTCTTTAGAGATTGAAAACATTTTGTAAATTATAGTACAAATCTCTAGCAAAATTTAAATGGTTGAAATTTCAACACAATCCCATGAACTCTTGAATGAAAAAATTTCCAGAAATAATTTAAAATCTTGTGGTATTACTAATGAAAAACTCTTGCATAGAACACAGTACGAATTTATTTCGGAATAGTGGGTCACCCAGTATAGCCTTTAGCAGTCATAACCGCATCATAGCAGTTAGGGGTTAAAGATATATTGACTAATGAACGATTTTCACACAAAATGTGGCCAGTTGACCGGAAAATTTAACACGAAGCGGTAGCAGCCACCCTATAACGTTCGCAAATATACTTCCATTCGTTTTATGCTCAATAAACTGCTCGTTGATTCCATTGACTCGATACTCATAATTCATCTGAAAGTACGTGTTTAAATTTAACAACTATATCGTACATTGTAAGCAGTAGTAGACATTAGACTTACGTCGTATACAGTGGCGTAGCTACATAACCAAGGGCCCTGGGGCAAATTAAAAAATGGGGCCCCATATGCTATGTTAAACTGGTTTTATCAAATAAAAATATGAAATATACAAATACTTAAAAAATGCTAAGCTACTTAAGGTTTTTTTGTGCACTGCAGAGCAGGTAATAAAAATATTAAACAGTAACAACATAAATTACAATTAATACTTGGTGTAGGTTTGGCTAATAAAACGAAAAGGCTTATTATATAAAGGTCGGGCCTACCAACAATTATATTTACAATTTTTTCCTAGCTTTAGTTTTCGCAAAAGTATCAATGACGTCGTTTAAATCCAGGCTTGATGCGGTTTTGTTTTCAATTGCTATTAGCGATAAATGTCGGAGTCAAGTTTGGCCCATATTATTTCTTAAATAATTTTTTATTATTTTTAATTTGCTAAATTACATTTCAGCTGCTGCAGAAGTGACAGGAATTGTAAAGAATAATAACATTGCTTCCGTTAGGTCGCATTCTAGCACTCCATATTTGCTCATTATTTCCTTACAATAATGAAACGCACATATCACTATCCGTCAAACTGACAACACTGCCAACCTACAGAAAGAATTTAGGGGAATTCCCTAGGCCTAACTTTTGAATTCCTCTCAACTGAGTTGTCATGATTAAAGTGGGGTTGCAACCTGACATATTTATTTTGAAAATGGGAGAAATTTCCAAAAGTTCAGTTCGATCGAGACTTCTGGTAAGGATTCGAGGGCCCCCTGAGCTTGAGGGCACTGCCCCGCCTAGCCCCTAGGTAGCTACGCCACTGGTCGTATATGAAGTAATAGGTAGTAATATATAGGGTGTCTTAAATAAGTGCAAATATTTTAAGAGGTGATATGTACAGAGCTGCGACAAGTCAGTTTTAAAAAGACTTAAGGCTTAAGTCCTAAGTCATTTCTTAAATCAGAATTATTTAAGCCTTAAGTCAAATTCAACATAAAGTTCAAACGATTTAGGTCGATTTAGTCTTTGACTTAAATCGTTTTATTTCAAGTTAAGTCATTTTTGTAAAGACTTGAATCGATATAACGTTATTTAAGTTTTATGACTTAAGTCTATATTTTTGACTTAAATCATGATGATATGCCAGTTAAGTCAGTAAAATGACTTAAATCAATATAATTACCCTTAAGTCAAGATACTCAATTCAATTTAAGTACCTTTTTAAATGTTAATATTAATTTTCCTGTATTATCAATTAGGCGATTTTCTTACTAAGTATCTATCATATTGTTGCGGGCC